CTGCCAGTAAATCCATTATACCCCCTCAAGGCCTTCCCGCACCGCTATGCTCAGATGCTCGACTGCTATCTCCATGGCATGCCGATCTGCCAGCGTCCGACGGAATGTGATGGATGTCAGCGCGAGCTCGATCCCTCCGTTGCTGCACATCATCTCCAGACCTGCAAACGCCGATCCTCCAAGCTTCCCACGGCGCATGACAACCTTACTCGTACGATTCGGTCGATGCTGAACGAAGCTGGTCTTCAGAGCGTCATCGATACAGTGGGGGATCCTCGTTCTCGACGGCAGGTACCCTCCCATCCTCATGGCCGCAAGATGAAGGGCGATATCCACATCCCTGGAATCCGCGATCGAGGGTCCGAGCAGTACGAGGGCTTGATGGCGGACGTGACGTTGGTCCACCCTTACATTGGTAGCTCTGCCGACCTGACCAAGTGGGGGGAGGTCAACCTCGACGCCCTCCATGTTGCAGCGTCTGAGAAGATTCGCAAACATCGCGCTGCATATGCTATGACTACTCCTCCTCGAGCGTTCATCCCTCTTGCCATCTCGACGGACGCCGGTACCCTGCATCCTGACACCCTCCGCTTCATCTGGTATTTGGCGGACATCATTGCTCAGCGCTCGATGCCTCTTGAGGATGCGGCGTTTGGTCGGCACTTTGTGCCTGATGACGGCCCTGCTGCTGAGGTCTTGGCTCGCAAACGCGCCGCCACCTATCAGCGCCTCACCATGCAGCTGACGCTGGAGGCGCTCTTGTCTGGTGCGAGGCGCATGACGCCCTTGCGGGCGCAAGCACTTCTCGAGCCAGAGGACAGCTCCTCCTCGACTCGAGAGAGATGGATTGACAGTGGTCAGTCGGCTGCTTCCGGGTATCGCGTCTAAGGGATTTTATTCCTCCTGCATGCTCCTGCTGCTTGTTGCTTGATTGCTTGACCCTTCGGCTGCTTGTCTGCGCGGCTTCGCGCTTGGGCTGGCGCTGCCGCGTCTGGGTGCCAGCAGTGCTGGTTCTTTTCGGGCTTGTGTTTTGTGTGTGATTGTGCAGCTTCTCGCTGTGGACTGTGTACCTGCCGGTTCAGCTTGTTCCTGCTTTGTTTTGCTTGAGGCACTTTTTATCTTCTGCCAGTAAATCCTCACTGTGACGTCGGGTGCCTCCGGAGAGCTCGACACCACTGGGGTGCTTGCAGCTGGTCCGAGCTCGCCTGCTTCCTCCCCGGCATCGGTCGGGTCACGCCGGTCCTTGGGCATTGCCGCGGCGTCGCCGCCGTCACGGGCGGCTACCGCTGACTCGGCTACCGCTGACTCGGAGGCTAGCGAGGAGGACTACCTCGAGGAGGACTACCTCGAGGAGGAAGCCTACAGGATTTACTGGCAGGAGGAGGTTGTTCCTGCTTTGTTTTGCTTGAGGCACTGTTTACCTTCTGCCAGTAAATCCATTAGCGAACAAG